TCCTCGCGCACCCGTGGAACGCGGAGCACCTGAAGCGTTATTATCCTTGAAATGACAAAAGGATTTTCAATGCATCTGTAAAGACTGTTCCAAAAGAATTATGATCGGAATAAATGTGATGATTTAATTTCATGCTTCCGAGTTCGACAAGAAATTAAATGGGGGMCACGGACTCCCACGCGATCGCATTCCAGCAGTTGGTTCAAATTCAATCCTTCGAAGCCTAAGGGTACGAGGTGCGATGCCAAAACCACTGACGAACTTAAAATTCAAACCTTCAAGGCAAAKGGGGCGATRTGGAAAGTTCAAAATGATCAAGCCTCCGAACTTGGGGGTASGAGGAACGATATGAAGAATAGCTACGGACTTAGGATTTTAGCCTTTTTACCTTTTTAAGTTAAGGGTGAAATGTTAAAAATCCAGAGTTGGTGCAATGTATTGAACATTAAGAGATTCAAACTCAAACTTTCAAATTATGTTAATTAAAGGCGCGACCTCAAAAGTAAGAGGTGCGAGGTGACGTTAGCTGCAGTTCAAAGGAAAAGCAAAGGAAAGCGGTTGCCAACAACAAAGTAGAAGCAAATGGGAGTCTCTTTATTGAATGAAGAGCAGAGCCAAGGCTTATAGACCTTGCAGCTCTGCCCTGACACTTGCAAACAAAAAAGAAAAGGGAGGGAGAACAGTGAAAAGCCTCGTGAAGGGTGGTCGCCTAAGAGCCTGCTGGGGGAGCGCCCTCCTGAGTGGAGCCGACCTGGTCCTCTTCGGGATCGGAGTAGTCAGAGTTCAGATCCCTGACATACTGATCCACCAATGCTTGGGGGCCAGGGGTGCCGCTAGGACCAGACGCCCACTTCTCGGCATACCTCCTTTTCAGATCGCTGAGATCGATCTGAAGGTCGGGCATGTCGGAAGCAATACCCTTCATGAGGAACTTGAAGCCCGCGTCGGAAAAATCTTTGGCAAATCCATCGAAGTCAGGATGTTGCCTAAACGATTCCTCCAGTAGGACTCCATTGCTGAGGCGCTCCTTCGCCGTCTCCAGCTCGGCAGTCGCATGCTCCAGCTCCTTATCCTTCGCTTCGAGCGCCTGGAGCATGTCGTCCTTTTCCTTCAGGAGCTGGAACTTCTCCCTCTCCAGGCCCCTGGTAATAGCGTGGGCAGCTCGGAGTTGGGYCTTGCGCCTGTCCTCTTCCTTCYTCAGCAGCTCGGCMTGAGACTCCACCTCGGCCTTCAAAGTCTCCACCTCAGAGTGAGCYTTSAGCAGCTCATCCTTCATGGTGGARGAAGCAGCTTCCAAGGCAGCGGAGAACTCCTCTTTCTCCCTCGYTGCCAGAACTTCCCTCCCATCCAGCTCGGCCTTGACAGCTAGAGCCGATTGAATGGAAGCAACGAACGCCTGCGAAATGGTACAAGGAAAAAGTTAGATCGAACTACCTGTTGGGCGAAATCAAGCAAAAATGGGGCACTAGTCTTACCTCGGCGGCGTAGTCGATGGTCCTCTGCAGAA